TTTATCGGGTGAGACTGTTTTGGTGATGTATTAACTTCACGAGAGGTCGACGACCGTCCTTCGCACGGACGAAAGAGGGAGTGCCCCACATGGGCAGCTCCTACACCAAGGAGGGGGCCCGTGACTCATCGAGGTGCCCCCTAACAAACGGCAATCTTACCAATCTGCGTGACACCAAATCATACAGCACATGTATCCAATACCAATGTTCGCAGACCCACGAACAGGTCGAACCTATTTCTATCGCACTTACGTGCAGCTCTGGGATCTGTGTGCNGCCCGTGACTCATCGAGGTGCCCCCTAACAAACGGCAATCTTACCAATCTGCGTGACACCAAATCATACAGCACATGTATCCAATACCAATGTTCGCAGACCCACGAACAGGTCGAACCTATTTCTATCGCACTTACGTGCAGCTCTGGGATCTGTGTGCTCCCCCTATCTACCAGGATGTAGTCGAGGATCGAGTATTCATTGCAATCTGCACGTTGCCTGGTGAACTCCGGCTTTTCGCATTCCCTCCTACCGTTCAACACNCGGAGGGGGGTGTACTCATAGTCGTGCATGACGGAGACCATTGACCTCGCATCCCTACAAAGCCGGGACGGAGCACGCCGGGTCCTCACGGACCAGGTTCCCACATCACCAAGCGCGAAGCGCCGTGAGATATTCGGCGAGTCGCATGACGGGGGTGCCAAAAGGTATTTCGTGCGCATCGCCTTCAAGACTCCTGCCGCTGCTTGACTGTAATACGTAATAGATCTCCACCGATGCAGGTTTCTACGCCTGAAAAGTGACTCACTCGTGAAACGCCCGAAACAATGAGAGAATGTGTAGCCTTTGCTGAATTTGGGTATTCAGGACCACCGTAAAAATCACGAACTGTCCTGACTCTGCATTCCTATTGCGATTTCGTAGCGCAGTAATTCACCTTCCCGTTTTCTATACTTAGCTCAAGTAGTAGAAATGCGGCATTCGGTATTTTACTGATAGTACTTGCACACACCAAGTATGTATGTAGTCAAGACTGGTTGTCACAAGGAGCGTTCACAACCGTCTACACCATGCATGTTTCAGACCGCATACCGGTTCTTTTGATCCGGCCGGACGTCACAACCGGTTCTTAATACGATGATGGATACTTCGCTATGGTCGCGACGTATCCGGAGGGCGCGGGCTGTCATGACCAGGGATCCGAACAGACCTATAATGTTCCCCCGGTCCAGCATATTGGGGGGGTTCAGGGCATGTCCCCTGACCCCCGGGATTGTACCGCCTCCCTCGGCGTGCTCTCCCGACCAACACCCAGGTGGTTGGTTACCACCGCCGATCACGCGAGAGAAACTGAGCCATATCCCTATCTTTGTGCCTGACCAATCGCCAACCCTTGTAAGTGCTGAAACTGATACGCTGATTACGGAGCTTGTGAGGAACCTGGTGATTGCTGTTGGACGTCGCCAATTACCGCTTGAAGTCGTACCACCGCTGCTGCTTGATTGTTCTGCATGGTCGTTCTCTACCGACATTGCTTATGATCTGTGCTAAGGTGAGAGGTATCTATCCTGATCAAAAGAGAGATACAACCTTGTCTGCAAGATGGGACACATACGGAGAAAGCATGTGGACATCAGATTCAAGATCGCCTTCTCCACTTTGGCCCACGAGATTCAGGACCACCGTCTCCTGGTCCACGACCGGGACTCTCCCTTCTAGAATATGTCTTTGCGGACTATCTAGGAAGTGGAGGGTCGGACTCTCCCTTCTAGGCTATGTCTTTGCGGACTAACTAGGAAGGGAGGGTGATTCTCCTTTCAAGGACACGTCTTTGCGGACTGCCTAGAAAAATGGAGAGTCGAGCCGTGTTTGGGGACTTGATCGCCCGTCCTTTTGTAGCATAGCTGTTTACCACGGTCGATGCTGGGGGAATATTCCGGCCGGACGTCCCAACCGGTTCTTAATACGACGATGGATACTTCGCTATGGTCGCGAAGTATCCGGAGGGCGCGGACTGTCATGACCGGGGATCCGAACAGACCTATAATGTTCCCCCGGCCCAGCATGTTGGGGGGATTCAGTGCATATTCCCTAATCCCCGGGATTGTACCGCCTCCCTCGGCGTGCTCTCCCGACCAACACCCAGGTGGTTGGTTACAGACGGCGCCCGCACTTAAGAACCGCTTGTTTTGGCTGAGGTCCGATGCTTTTTGGCTGCCTCAAATTGAGCACCTGTTCTTATTTTCAAAGTTTTTATTTCGAGCGGGCATATCTGTATGAGAAACGGGGTTCGTGTTCTTTCTACGTCGAGGGCCTCAAGACACCGTTTATGTTTATGCGTTGATTCAACCTGACTCTTGAGCGCAGCGTGTTTTCATGTAAAAGAGTAGAACGTCGCTCAACAGAGACCTCTGGACCCGGCGTACCGCAGCTTACGCGATCACCATAAGGTAGAAATACAGACGCGGCATCGCCTGAAATATTGACGCATCTGAGCAAACATTGAACCTTTAGAGGTTCACGAGGGTCACGTTCGGTGTGATTGTCCTCCACGCTCGACTAACGCCCGTCGTAACTACACTGCGACCTTTACTCTGCTCTTCGATGGTCGGACCTTCTCCCTGCTCGACGGCGCTCTCCTCAAGCAAAAACCCACGACCTTATCACCGCCCCCGCATCTCCACTGTCCTTGGCCAACCTTAATTTCATGCAGTGCGTACATCGGTCTAGCTCCAAATGCGCACGGTAGTCGTAAAGGTGGCGGGACGGCTCGTCAGACTGCCGAATGATCATCTCACTTAATCAGCCCATGCTCAGTTTAACGAGTACTCCACGCTACAGCAGCGAGTTTAGACGCTTGAATTAGAAAACCGGTGGGTGCGACGAAGGATTTGGTGTTGGTAAGCATTCGTCACCCACCCCTACGTCGACTCGAAGGCCTCCCAATCTGACTTCGTGGGCAGTTGCCAGCAGTGGATGGCATGTTCTTTGATGGCGTCGAAGTAGGCGTCGATCAGGAATGACACCTCTTTCTGAAACTGGCGGTTGGTGAGGTCACAACACCCAGTGAGCCACCCCTCACCGCCTTCATGAGTTCCCATCTTGCAGCGGCCCCGTTTTGGGGGTCTGTTCTTTTCTGTATGCGCGTATTGTTACACCACAATTCGGCTTCTTGTTCTTAATGCCACGTCGAAACTGAGCACGTCTTCTTATGGCCAAGTTCTTGCATTTTGAATTTTTCGAGGCTGTATTCTAGGTGCGTTCCAAAGGGGTTAGACTGACTCTTATGGCACCCGAAAGTTGGCCCGACGGAAAAACAAAATCGTTGCGAAATTCCGGGCGGATAATCCGTTGGAAGCCATATTATGGTCCAACGGATAATTTCGTCTGATTTTCGAGCATCCTGCTGTGGCATGTAGCGCCAGGGGGCCCACGACATGTCAGGATTCGAGATCGGATGGAGGCCTAGAGCGGACGAGCGGCCACCACCGACCACTCAACCCACGGTACAGAGCGAGAGCCAAGTAAGTGCAGCACGGGCACCATCATGTCAACCGCCTCTCTTATGCTAGACAAGGAAGCTAGCTCAGACTGGGTGATCAACAGGATGAAGGGCAGCAACTGGGGCGACAAACCGAACGTAGGCCATGCTAGTCTGTCCCAGTTCTTGCCAGGGTTTTACGTTGCCATGAGCGTAAAGGAGAGCGGCAAATGCTACAGCGAGCCTGATAGAAATGCAGAGGCAGTCAAAGTGTACAAAAGCTTCGCTGTGCCGGCATTCCTTCGCTGGTTGGTAGGGGTCGATCCCCACCGACAGAAAACGAACTCCAACTTGTCACGTTTCCCCGCCTCTGCTTTATTTTGACGAGGGCACTATAAGTAACCGGGGAGTCGGTACTGGCTGCACGGCGGGCGAGTACTGTGGTAGTGCCATGTGTCAGGGTGAACAGAAAATCGAATTCTACATTAAGCAACCTCGCGCGGTCTGCCTGCCATCGATTCGACGCTCTTGGATCAATATTTGCGACAGTTGAACATGCCGTCCTGCGGGAGGAAAGTCGTGTACCTGTGGAAAAGAGGGTTTCGTCCTCGACAGACGTTGGGGAGTTTCAACCTTTATGAAGGTGTTCACCACATTAGCCCCCCCTTTTTCGAGGCTTCTTCTTGTTTGCTAGGCAAGAGAAGTTTTCTTGGGGTAACCGGAACCCGACCGGCTGGCGCCGAGTAGAATCACCTTTTTTCCAACAATCTTCTGTGCGTGTTGCGGGTGCGCCCCTTCCGCCACGCATTGCCAGAAGTTTCGAGTTCGATAGACAGTGCATCGTTTCTTGGCCCACCCACCGTTTTTCTTTTTCCGTACTCCGGAAGATAATTAGGTGAGCAGCGGGTTTTGAACCCGTGTCTTTTGCAACCAACAGCAGGCACCTGACATCTCTTCGTCGACGCCATTGTGGAAAAGAGGGTTTCGTCCTCGACAGACGTTGGGGAGTTTCAACCTTTATGAAGGTGTTCTCCACATACCGCCATAAAAAAATAGAGAGAGGAGCGAGCGTGGATACCGTTGCCAGTGTCGCCTTGATATTCACCATCCGTTCCTATCTCTGCTTGGCACCTTACATCATCCGGTCCAAAACACGCGAATGTCTTCCGTGGTCACAGACCAGCTACTCAGATTTTGGGCACACACAATGCACTCGAAAGTCAGAAGAGAAAGCCGAAACGGCCCAGGTCTTGGCATAGACTAAACACATGAATAATAAAATTGAAGGTCCCAATCAGACACATCAGGCGGAGGAGGGGATTAAGTAGGAACATTCTTCGGTAGGCGGTGCCAAACCCCTTCACTCATCCAGACAACATTAAAAGTGCACGATTTTGATCTATTCCTCCTACATTCACCGCTGGGGTTGCCACTGCCATGCCACTTGCGGCGGTTCTAGTCACCCACTTCACTCAGCTGTCGACCAACAGGCGACTCAGATGGTGTACAAAGATCCGGTTACAAAAAGCATAGAACGTAAAAGAACAAACAGGGGGAGCGGCGTACTGCACCTAGATCACGGCGTACCACATAGATAAATGGTGGACGGGGACAAAACATAACCTCGAACCGAGAACACACTGCAAACAAGATGGTGTAACCAGCACCTGCACCCTGCCTGCATAACCTACCCAGTCCGGTAAACTGATGCATAACCTTCTATAAAAACATTTCCATTGTGTGGATTTCATAGCGGCATATTATGTAACGGTGCCTTCCATGAAGTGAATCAGTCGAATCCCTAAGAATGCACTCTAAAACACAGAGGAAGAAAGCCACGATACTAAGGACATGTAGTACGGCTCCTCCAGCGAACCCCCTCCGAGCGTGAAACAACCAAGCCGGTTTGGCATACAGTTCTCAGGCTGAACGAAAACACGCGCGTAAAAGAAAAGAAATTCACGCACACCAAACCAAAAAAAGCGCCACGTGCANAGAATGCACTCTAAAACACAGAGGAAGAAAGCCACGATTCTAAGGACATGCAGTACGGCTCCTCCAGCAAACATACTCCGAGCGTGAAACAACCAAGCCGGTTTTGGCAAACAGTTCTCAGGCTGAACGAAAACACGCGCGTTAAAGAAAAGAAATTCACGCACACCAAACCAAAAAAAGCGCCACGTGCACTTTAGCCAGTCGTGGTGTGTCTGAGCCACCGAATGTCGTTCTTCGATCTACGGAATTCAAAGTGCGTCATAAGCGCGTTCTTCAACTCCTCATGGGCTGCTTCCGGGGTCGTGGTGGTGCCGTCATCGTCCGCCGGGGTGGGGCTGGTGGAACCCACAGTACTCTCGTCCAACAAAGGGTCNCCGATGTTCGGAATTCAAAGTGCGTCATAAGCGCGTTCTTCAACTCCTCATGGGCTTCTTCAAGGGTCGTGGTGGTGCCGTCATCGTCCGCCGGGGTGGGGCTGGTGGACCCCACAGTACTCTCGTCCAACAAAGGGTCGTTGTCCCGAGCATCGTGGAGACCCGCCCTCCCTCCCCACTCTTCGACCGTCTCGAGCTCGTCCAGCCCGTCGAACGCGTGCAGCATGTTGTGTAAGGTGCAGCACGTGAAGAACAAGTTGTCGATGACGTTCTTGTCCTGGAAAAGGATCCCCAACTTCAGGATCCTGAAGCGGCCCTTCAAGATGCCGAAGAAGCACTCGACGTCTTTTCGGACGCTCTCCAGCGCTTTGCTCCACTTCCTCTCCATGTCAGTCTGAGGGTATTTTGTAGGGGGAATGAGAATCCCCCACTTGATTAAAAGAGAAAACAAGGCATGGCGAAGGGCGTGCGAGGGATGCGGGCGTGCAAAAGAGAACCCTGACTCGCAACGCGGCGTAGCGGCAAGAGAAAGATGCGGGTTCTCCGGGCGGGGACGGGGTGTTTGTGCTCTGTATGCCTCAGCCGTTGTGTTGACCACGTTTCCTCGAGAGACCGGAGCATTGCTCCCACAAAACCGATCGCCGATAGCCATCACGGGGGGGGGGAGAAGCTACAAAACGAAGCTCGGGCTACTCCGCGACAGACCTGTTGCGATTGAGGCACCCCCCGAAAGATGGTCGACGCTGACACTGATGCCTCTTGCAGCAAAAACACTTTTGAACCCAACCTTTTTTTTCCGACTTCTCTTCGCGATGGAACGGCCAATACCGCCTACAGGCGGTATTTTACCGAGTAAACCTTTTAAAAAAAAAGAGAAGAAGGCTCCACCCATACGAGGGAGGGGGGGGCACACGGAGGCTCCTTTGAGGCATTGACGTGCTATCTTGAAGAAGTCACGTGTTGTACGTCAACACACACATTGGGGGTGCCAAAATTGCTGCAGTGATTCAGCAGACGGTCCATACAAATCGCAATTGTGGAACATGCCCACACCGCATTGGAAACGGCACGAACCGGACAATTACAGAAGCTACAAACCGCCCTCACCTTGTTGTACCCGATGTCCACAATGCTGTAGTTTCCTCTGCGCTCGAAAGGTTGGCCGTTCTTGTCGAAGAGCGTGGACACCTTCTCCGTGTGGACAGGGTCACGGCGGATCTTCGCCACTGCCGTGTCGTACCGGATGATGGTCTTGTCGTTCATGGCACCGGCGAGACCCTTCGTCGGCAAGGACGCGTCCGGTGTGATCTACGATCGCCTGGTACGCGATACTCGGGAACCCTTCCTTCCCCGTGTACTGCCTTGCCCAAGAATAGGGGCAGCACGCCCACCGGATATGGGTGACGTCGGTTGACCCTATCGCTCCCGTGAACCCCAGGAGATCATACGCCTCCATCACCTGATAATGCATATATCGATCCGGGAAGATGTCGTGTGTTTTGTGGGGCACCTAACAAAGCAAAAACAACTTCGTCGTTGTAAGCAAAGCTTGCGCGCAGCTAAACCAACATGAGAACATTACGCATTTCGATAAACGTGCTCGGCCGTGAGAGCGCATCGTTTGAGACCATTCATATTGCTTGCCAGGGGTCTGTGTTTTTCAATCACGCACACTGTGCCTTTCGATCAAACACGATCTGACCGAACACGCGGGACGCATACATACGCAAGTTTGTTGAGTGCAGACAGGATGGACAAATCAATATTGACCGACGCCTGTCAAGAGAATACACAGAAAACATGTTTATTTTTGTTTCCGTTTTCGTCCTGTTTATTTTGGCGACAGTCCCTCCATTCTTCGTGGTGAGACGCGTACTGCACTTTTCAGCGCATGTAACTAGAGTACTACACTTTTCAGTGTATTCTTTCGTACAACTACAACCATCCAGGGTCACACCGGAGGGGGTAAACCCCAGGGCTTATTTCTTCCGTGTATTTTGTCAAAATGCCCTACCTTCCTCCTGCGTTGCGTGCTGAATTTTATTTCTATCGCGAGAAGGACCAGCCGTCCCTTTCTTTGTCAACTGTGCTAACGTCGAAGTTGGCACTCCCGAGAGCTTTCAGCTTTATGTCCCTCTCACCCGCAAACTTTAAATTTTTTTCGCCCCATGGGGATTCGAAGTCAAGACCTCTGCGTCTAGCACGACCTCTGCGACTAGCGGTTTACGAGGATACCACTAGACCACCGGGGCGACCGGTTTCGCAAGGAAATACGGGCGGAATGGTCTTCAACGAATACAGCGGAAAGCAAGTGTGGTCGCACGAAGAAAATAAGCGCGGCAGACATTTCATGAAGTGTAGGTCACCTTGTCCTGGTCCTCGCCAGTGGGCATACATACGTGGTCGTGATAAAACTCCCGGGGCGAACAGCTTCGTGAACTTGTGAAAGCTAGCCTGTGTAACGCCCTCACTCATGTGTGAAGCCTGGCTCATGTCCTCGAAGAAGTTTCCCCTACCCAAGATGTGCAGGGATGACAAGACCTGTGCACATAGACGTCGTGCGCGGTGTACGGTCGGCCGGAATTGATCTTCGGTTGTCAGGTCATTCGCGACGCTGCATTTTCGACTACTTAAAGAACATGGCATACCTGAAGGGGCATGAGCAACACAGCAGTATCTTCCTGCAGCAGCAGCCCTGGCGATAGACGCAGAAAATGGCATGAGGGGGGTTTGGCGAGAATAATTCACCACAATCTACCTGCAGCAGCTTCTATAGGTGTACACCACGTTTTTCTCATCTTTGGCACAAGCCCTGCGGTCCACGGTACGACTTTGTACTGCTGCACACTTCGTTCATGGATGTAGACTATGTGTAGACCATACTTACGTTGCCCTNCGGAATTGATCTTCGGTTGTCAGGTCATTCGCGACGCTGCATTTTCGACTACTTAAAGAACATGGCATACCTGAAGGGGCATGAGCAACACAGCAGTATCTTCCTGCAGCAGCAGCCCTGGCGATAGACGCAGAAAATGGCATGAGGGGGGTTTGGCGAGAATAATTCACCACAATCTACCTGCAGCAGCTTCTATAGGTGTACACCACGTTTTTCTCATCTTTGGCACAAGCCCTGCGGTCCACGGTACGACTTTGTACTGCTGCACACTTCGTTCATGGATGTAGACTATGTGTAGACCATACTTACGTTGCCCTTGCTCTCCTACGACACCCAGTCGCGCCACTCTGTATTTCACATACTACGTGCGTGCGTGTGTAGACCATACACTGTCCTTGTTCTCAGTGTGCACACAAATATGCATATAGTAGTCTGGATGGATGCATGCATGCCAGTTTTGGAGTCGGCAACGTCTCAATAATACATCACCTTCAGCTCGACTGGGATGCACATGCGCCCGGCCACATCTTTCTTGCGCATGGGGAACCACTTCTTCTTCTTGACCAGCTCCATGATCTCCGTGAAGAACTGGTAGGGGATGCGGAAGCGCCTCCGAAAAAGCTTGGCCTCTCTTGACGCTGGTTCCTTGAGGCCCGTCTCGCCCAGCATGCGCCACCAAAACGAGGCGCGGTAGTCTGGCCGTGGAAGAACTCGGCGGGTACGCTTCACGGGGGAACCACCGCCAAGGCCTTCGTCCTCCAACTCGTCGCCATCTGGGAAGGACCGCAGGACAACTCGCCAGGTCGCCACGGTAAGCACAGCGCGTTGCCGCTCGCGACGTCTCCGCTTCGCTGCTGCAAGAAGAACAAGTAGGTGGGCATGTCGTTCGTCGTCGCTGCCGCTGTCGTCGGCCGCACTCGCGTGCTCCATCGCGCACCCGGTCCAGTCTGTGCTGGGTGCTGGAAAGCTCGTGCACACACACGCCACGCTCGGTTGCCGCTCGGGATGGATGCGGTGTGACCCCGCGATTTCGGTGTGTTCGATNCTGCCGCCGTCGTCGGCCGCACTCGCGTGCTCCATCGCGCACCCGGTCCAGTCTGTGCTGGGTGCTGGAAAGCTCGTGCACACATACGCCACGCTCGGTTGCCGCTCGGGATGGATGCGGTGTGACCCCGCGATTTCGGTGTGTTCGATCAAAACGAACAATCCGTCGGCAACATCCGGGCCCGATTCCCATCCGAAATATATGCCCAACTATCGTTGGGCCCTCGGCCCAGATGTTCCAAACGATTTTTTTTTTACCCTAAACCCGCCGCATCCGTGCCCATAAGATGGACATGCCACGAAAATTGAAAAAATCCGTTCCGTGGCCAACTTTCGGGAGCCATAAGAGTCAGTCTTAGCTGCTAAGCTCTAAATTCGAACGCCATCTGTACCACCACCGGTCACGCGAGAGAAGCTGAGCCATATCCCTGCCTTTGTGCCTGACCAACTGCCAACCCGTGTCAGTAGATCCACGCAAAAGATGTGGTGCGATAGGAGAAGATCGTTGCGTGCAACAGGGCGTGGCTGCGTGCACATCAGCTTGGCTGATTCTCGCGAGGAAGGCGTAATCGGTTACGGGTTCGGCCCTCCAAAGAGTGCAACACTGCTGCATGCACGGAGAGCAGCGGAGAAATATGAAGAGAAGAAAAAACAAATGCGAAGCAATCAACCCAAAAACCAGCGCACGTGTGGTGACAGCATGTAGCAATCACACAATTGGCACACACTAGACTCCAAAGGTGCAAGATGAGTGGCGAGGGGACCCCTCGAGGTGGGAGAGCAAGTCATGCTAACAGAGTCATCGGGGGGAGTCTAGCGAGGGCTCGACTGATGTTGAAAAGTAAGCGGATCGAACCGGCAGGGGAAGTCGGGGAGAAGATGAAGCGAGAAGAAAGAACGCGCTGACATAAACACCCCAGAAAAAATCGCTTCGCGTTCGTCAAGCCCCTGCGCAAGGCGAAGCGCGGCACACCTCTGACGTCCACATACTTTCTCCGTACCTGTACCATCTTCCAGACAAGGTTGTATCTCTCTTTTGATCAGGATAGATACCTCTCACCTAAGCACAGATCATCAGCGTGTCTGTAGAGATCGATCATCCAGAACAATCAACCAGCGGTGGTTATTGGCGGCGTCCACCAGCAGTCACAACGTTCCTCACAAGCTCCATAATCAGGTTATCAGGTTCAGCACTCACAAGGGCTGGCAGTTGGTCAGGTACAAAGGTAGGGATATGGCTCAGTTCTCTCGCGTGATCGGCGGTACCTGGGTGTTGGTCGCGAGAGCACGCCGAGGGAGGCGGTGCAATCCCAAGGGTCAGGGGACATGCCCTGAACCCCCCCAACAGGCTGGACCGGGGGAACATTATAGGTCTGTTCGATTCCCGGTCATGCATGACAGCGGTGCCCTCCGGATACTTCGCGACCATAGCGAAGTATCCATCATCGTACTAAGAACCGATTGGGACGCCCGGCCGGAACACCACTCTACTGCCTTATCTCCCTCCTCTCTTGAGGCGGTAAATAGTCTAGGTGATAATAATGTGCTTCTTCAAATATTCTTTGTACTCGAGCATACAAGAAGAGCATCCGTGCGTATCTAAGCCTGAATTGTTTTGACAATCAATCGCTGATCACCTGCATTGATACATATAAATAGTGTACAACCGCCGTAGCACTACAGCGGTAGACACACACGGTGCGATACCTGTTCTTTCTTTCTATCATTTTGTTTGCTTTTTCCGAGTGGTTTGTACCCCATTTTTGTTTTTTTCCCCGCGGCGTCGTATGTGCCGGGTTTTGAGACCACGGGCTCTCCATATTTTGTGGACCACGTATAGAGCTAATGTGAGAAAAAAAAAATATCAACAACAATAACAACACGTGGATCGATGGCGTACCATTTATATACGAGGGTGAACAACCACATCATCTCACAAGGGACCAAATCAAACTTTACTAGACGATGTAGTCTATGCATAGACTGCTGTGTAGTCTAGACAATTTTCGGAGAAGAAAGCGTATTCAACACTTCGGCCGGTGTCACCAAACATTCACCTTACGTACACTTCTATATGCCCCCCGTCTACACATCCCCCATTCCCGTGTTGAGAGAGCTGTATGTAGTCCGGGGCCGGTGATGCGGAGTATTGTGACTACAAACAATTCCTATTCCAAAACAAAGTGAAAGAAATCTAGAAAACAATGCAACAGCGGTGCGCAGAGTTCGTCTTCTCTTTCTCTCTATGAAACCCCTTATTCCCGGTGGGTGTGAAGTAACAACATTGTTATTGTCATATACCATTGGCGGAGCCCAAGCCGGCGTACGAACAGCCTCAAAGCAAAGGTTAACAAAGGGACAGAGTCAGACCGACGGGTAGCGGGAGGTGTGGGGGAGTCCGGCGTCTCGAGAAGCGCCTACACCGCACACGCGCAGGTACCAACTGATCGTGTCCTTTCTGGATCCTGATCCTCCTCACCCGGAAAGCCTGAGCTCATTTCGGGGAGAGAGGTGCCACAGCAAATCGAGACAAACCAAGAGGGCGGCCGAAACGGGGATGCTTGTCGTTGTGATTGTGCCATGGAAGATGTGCGACAGCGGCTTGGGGGAATGGGGCTCAGTGGCGTGACGTTGGAGCAGCTATCCGGGGTCGAGTGGAAGCTCGGCGAACTCAAGGCAAGGATGAGATTATACAAGTACTGGAGAAGCCGCAGCGCCATTGTTTCTGTTGTCATCTGGCCGAGCGAAATGTGTGTGTTTTTCCATACGCGAGTCAGCAGCAGCCGAAAAGTGAACGTTAGGTGCCATGGTCATGTGTAATAGACAGTCGCTGCCGGGAGTAGAAAGGGGCGAGGCTCGGCTCTCTTGGGCGTGTGTCTCCCCCTCTCCGGTCTATGTACTGTCCATACCTCGGGTACCTCCCTCTTTGACGTGGCTGTGTCCGTTAGAGTCTACATAGACGAAAGGCCCCCCCGGGAGTCACTGACTGACAGACTGTCCCCGAGCGACGCGGACACATTTTCGAAGACTGCGCTCATTTTTTTTCCAGATGGCGCGATCTTGAATGAATGTTTCGATACCCAACGCTTGCCCCCCCAGAACAAAACCATGCCCTGTTGCTCGAGTGTACAGCAGTCATGACTACGTCTTGGATCATATCTCTCCATACCTCTCTCTCTACGTATCCAGTAGTTTACCACAGCCCAGCAGTGGTGTCTCTGAAATCGTTTCAAGAGGTGTGAGATCCCGGCGCCTCCACACAAGTGCATCGGAATCTACTGTAGGCTGTAAGTCGATGTGTGATACCGCCATCTTGTAGGCATGCCCGTTTTCTTTTCTGCTCTACTGCTGTATTTCCTCTCTCAGTTGAAACCATTTTGGGATTTTGTTTGTTTGGGTCCACAAGAAGCCCGGAACAGCAGACCGAATAGGCTTGGGTGTACATGTCCACATGCACACAATACGAGATGGTGTGCAAGATGGTGCAAGACTCTTCCCCAACTATAGTACATAAATAACGTAAACTATTAATACGGAGTTTTCCCCCCGGGGAGGGGATCGTTTTTTTTTCTGAAACCAACCCCCCCGCCGGGAGGAAATCGACGTTCCGCCGGGGGTTAGTTTTTTTTTTCCAATGCAACCCCGGGGGGAAGCCGGAAGCCCCCTCCCGGGGGGTTGGGCAAAATATTCATGGTCCACACACCACACACTCACAGAGAGTAGCGAAACTGAGATGGATAAGGTTTTCGAGCAAGCGTTCAACAAGCAGAGGGAGGAGGAGGTAAGAGCAACGAAGGCAACGAGAAGAAAGGCGGCAAGGAGGACAGCAGCTGGGGGAGTCTGCATCGTCCCGCGATTGATTCCAAGAATAGGAAGGACCCGCCTTCCAGAGAGTACCCGCCAGCTCCGTTCACGCTGCAGCGAGTATCTGGAAAGACCGGGCGCAGCGCATACGAGAACGTGCAGAAGCTGGAGGTGCCGAAGTTCAGCCGGAGCAAGTGTGCCGATGGGAACCCAGTCGGAAGGCGTGGTGCTGGGAGCGTGTTCGGCATCGATCCGAAGCTCGTCCGGGGTTGGGAGACCTGAGGGGGAGCTTGTGGAGTTTGTACAAGAACACGAAAGCATTTCACCCATAAAACAACTACGAGGGCCAAGTGACAAACGATACACCTAGTCTCGCTCGAAGCGGAGATCTGCAGATGAATTTCCCGTCCCATATCATGCTTCTTTGTGCTACGCGATGCAACAAAATCGACTCAGATAATAAGGGAAATATATCCCCCCCGGGGGGAACTAGTGGGAAAAAAATTATCCCGGTGGGAAATTGACGTACCCGGGGGATTTTTTTTTTGTCGAAAACGATCCACCCCGTGGCTAAATCAATGCCATGCTTCCAGGCCGAAAAGGTAATGGGGGGGGGGGAATCTGTACGACGGGGGGAAAACTCCGTACTTTATGGCAGACAAGTGTTGCACCGGTGTTTGGGATGCTGCCTTCCGGGTGCATGTTACCCTGAATGTTGCGGTGCCGTTGTGTCACAGCCAGTTGAGCATATCACCGTCGTAGGAGGCGTTATCCCCCGGCACGACAGCGCCCGCCGATGGCGAATGTGTGCAGACCGCTGTTATATGAGCAACGGACGGGGTCACAGCGGCAAACGTCCTGCATAGAAAATTAAGACTGCTGTAAAAAGCAGCAACCCACTTTTTCCTAACATGCCGCCTGCTACCCTCGAGAGCTGCAGCTTGTTTGTATGTAAATTTATCTATCGCATCCTGATTCTTAATTAACCATCCGGTCTTAAAACACGCAGTTTGAAGGGGGTGGTATCGACGACGACATCGACGCCACCGGCCTGCGTCTCGGAGGCGTGCACTTCGGCGCATCCCCGGATAAAACCGGGCAAGTGCCGCTGTCATCGATCCCACCCATCCCGGCACCGTCCAAAGGGCGCGTCGGCGGCAGCGGCGCGGCCACGGCTGCCCCTAATGGCTTCAATTCCCCCTCCTCGCGGCCCGCCTGGGCTCGAAAGATGCCAGTGGTGGACGGGGGCGGCAGCGCCGGTGGTGTTTCGACGGCGGCGGCCGCGACGGGAAGAAGCTACGGCGGGGTGCCGCCGCCGCCGCCGCCGCCGCCGCCGCCTGCGGGCTCCGCGGAGGTGCTTGAGGAGCGGCTGGCGGCGGAGAGAGCGTTCAGTAGCATGGACCAGAACTCCGGCAGGGTGTCCGCCCGTCGCTTGGAGGAGCTGCTGACCCTGTTGGGCATGCCGGCGGCGCAGAGGGGCGCGAAGGCGACGGAATCCGCGAGGGCGGCAGGACTTTTGAGCGCGCCTTCTTTTTCTTGCCAGGAGTTCGTGGATTGGTGAGTTGATTGTGGTGTAGGCAGAGGAAAGGAGGCCTGGGGACATGATGATTACGGCTAAAATTACCGCACTAGGTTTTTCTCCTGCCTTGCACAGCCTCGCGAGTGTGTAACATAGCAGAAAGGCAGTTACTCGTGAGTGTTCGCGCCTACGCTGTGTCTTTCGGTTTTGCTCGGCATGGGAGGCTCGCACTTTGCCGCTCGCCCTGTGTCCGACTGGTCGATAACCACCCGACCACTCTTGACCCTGGTTTTTGAGAAGATGCGAGGGTCGAGAGATAAGACGCGACGGGCCGCGACGGGCCACACATGATCACATGCGCGCCCCTCATGTCCCGAGGACATGTACGTCATCCCCAGCTTGACGGTTTTCGAATTGTACCAGAAAGAATCCTGTTCGCTCGTGGAGTTCCTAAGAAAAACGCGTGCGTCGCTCGCTCGCTCCTTCCGTTCAGGTACCTATCCTGGTTGTTCAAGGAAGAGGGGCCGCCTCGCGAAGGCGCGTCCAGCAACGGCACGGCGGACGGTCGGCCTCCCATATACCGGCCCTTCCCGGGGACCAATGGCGACGATGACGGTTCCTTGTTGTCATCGTCCTCGTCCTCCGATGATGATGATGATGATGATGATGATGACGATGACGAGGATTCTAACGCGGGCTCTGGTGCTGCTCCACCCAGCGACTACGGCGATGGCCCACTTCGCGGCGGCGAGGAGAGGCTCGGGCGTCTCTCGCTGGCCAGCAGCGACGGAGACGATGAAGACGGCGGCGCGGTGGCGGCGGCGGCCACGGCGGCTCTGCGGGCGGCAGCAGTGGCGTACGCTTCACGCTCCTCAAGCAGCAGCAGCAGCAGCAGCAGCAACAACAACAACAATATTAGTGCCAACAACGAAAACTCCGACCCCAGCTGCCCCCAGCGCAGCAAGCCTCGGCAGGCGGCGGCGGCGGCGGTGGGACGCCAGAGCGGCGGTGCGGTGGGCAGCGGCGGTGGCGACGGGGAACACTGTTCAGATCACGTCGTCGAGAACGGCAGCCGGCCTACTCAAGAGACCGGAGAAGGGACTTCCTCTTCCACTGGCGAAGTGTCAGGGGCAACCTCTTCGGAGGCAACTCGCCCTCCGGAGTCATCATCCGCCGCCGCGGCTCCAGCGACACCGCTGCCTAGGTTCCAGTTCGGGGTGCCGTCGCTGCAGGGGACCAGGGCGCCCGGAAGCGGGGCGTTGTCGTCGGCGCACCGGGCCCACGGGCGCGGGGCGCCCGGCAGGGGGGTAAAGAGCGCGCGCGCCGGGAGCGCTCGTGGTAGCAGCGCTAGCGTATTATCCGCGGCGGCGGCGGCGGGGAAGGCCCCGCGCGTCGGTGGTGCCGGTGGCGGTGTTGTTGCAATGGAGAAACCGCCGCCGGCTGCCCCGAGCTCGCCGGCGGAGATGATGGACGTGTCGGAATCGCCCCTGAACCCGGTGTTTGGCTCGAGCAACTCTCCGGGCTTCGTGTTTCAGGCGGGGCAGCCGAGAGCGTCGCCGTCTCAGCAGCAGCAGCAACAACCGCCGCCGCCGTCACCGCCGCCCGCATACACCGCGATGCCTGTTCCGCCAGCAGCAGCAGGGGCAGCGCCGGCTCCTGCTCCGACGTCAGCGGCGGATCCCGGCATCCCCCCAAGGGCGTTCGTTTTTGGATCGTCCGCGCCGGTGGGCGGGGTGAAGGCCATCCCTTCCCCTTCCACGGGACTGAAACCCATACCGTCTCCTTCCGCGGGGCGGTTCTTCAACGTGGGATCGTCGGTGACGCCGTTGTCCCGGTCGACCGCGATGCCCCAGGCTCGCCCGGCGACCCCACCGCAGTCTCGCCCGCCCGCGTTCACCTTCGGCGGGAAACCCAACGGGGTGCCGGCGACGGGACGGCAGCTGACGCCCGCGGGGTCGTCGTTGCCAGGCGGCGGGGTCACGTTTTCCACGGGCACAGTTTCGAACGCCGGGCCCGGGCGCAGAGGGCAGAGAGGCAGGCCGACATCGGCGTCATCGTTGGCGACACCTTCGAGGTCCTCGAACACCCCGCCGCCCCCGCCAGGAGAGCGGGACTGGCACGGTAGTGGTGGTGGTGGTTTTGGGGCTGTCGAGCAAGAGGGGCTGAAAGGGGTAGGCGCTCAGGATACCTTCACGGGTGAGACCGATCAGCGGCCAGCGGCGACGCCGTTGAAGTCCCCGCTAGCAACAGCCACCAGCTTCTTCGCGTCGATGCTCTCCCCCCGACGAAAAGCCGCCGCCGCCGCCGCCGCCGCCGCCGCTGCTGTTACGGCTGCGGCTGCTGCGGCCGCTCATGATGATTATGCCGATGCTGCTTTCCCTGACCAGACAGCGACAACAAGCGCCGCCCCCGCTGGTGCTGCTTCGGCGCCATCAGGGGCGGTAGCCAGCGCGCAGGAGAACTCCGCCGACCAAGAATCGGCACCGGGGTACCAGCCCCTCCGGGAGCACGTGGTGCCCCCACCCCTGTGGACCGCGCCAGGCCGCGGCGATGGGGGCCGCGGCACCGGCGGCGGCGGTGGTTCTTCTTCCTTCGCGCCGGAGCAGTCGCCGCCTTCCGCGGCCTCGTCGCCGTTCTCCCCGATGCCTTCCTCCTATTGCGCCTCCTCCTTCTCCCCCGTGACCGCCTCTCCGAGCTCGTCGGCGTACTTCACTCCGGAGGGCGCGGCCGGGCGCAGGACCTCCGCGGCGCCGCCGCCGCCGCCACCGCCGCCGCCGCCTGCGGCGGGAAGCGGCGGCGGCGGTCGGCGGAGCTCCTCCTCTTCCTCCTCCTCGGTGCGGAAGATATCGGCGAGGAACCTGGCCGCCGCGGCGGCCGCGCGAGGGGTTTCGTCAGAGGAAGAAGGACCGGCGATCAATGGAGAGCGGCGGCAGCAGCGGCAGCATCCTCCCCCGGGTAGCGCTCCGGCACCGGCACCGGCACCTACACCATCTGCCCCGCCTCCGTTTGTGTTCATGTTCGGGTCACCGCCGGCCGGAGCACGGCAGGGCGTTACCCCCCCGCCGCCGCCGCCGCCGCCGCCGCCAAGGTTCAGGTTCAGGGCCGATGCGGCGGGCCAGCAGGAGCGAAGGCAGGACGGGGGCACCGCCACGGGTAGGAGCTCCGCGCAGGAGTTCATGCAGCAGCAGCGCGGACACCAACGCCAGCACGGAAACGCAGAGGCAAGCAAGGCTTGGAATTGTTCGAGCTGTACTTTGTTGTTTTCTCTTCGGGAGGCTTATCTTCTTGATAGATTTGTTAAGGGCCAGAATTACCTAATCGGGTATCCAAGATGCCGCCGTTTATTGGAACAGTTATAGAACTGCCTTGTGCTGGTCGCAGGCTGTGGAACCTGCTCGAAGAGACGCTCATCAGCTTCCGAGCAGCTGTCGACCTGTTCATGCGAAAAATATCCACCAACACCTTTCTTTTTCTTCAATTGACAAGTACCTACGTGTAACAGATTACATTTTCCTCCGTAACCCCCCCTGCCGCCGGCCATGTTCTTGATACTACGTGTTTTCTACTGCTTTTACATTAGGATGGCGAGGAAATGAGCTTTGACGAGCCGGCGATGGCACCAGTGAACCCGGGGCCGCTTCCCACTCGTCTGGGAACGGGTTTCAGCTTCGGGCAGACGGCGGCGCCTTCGGCAGCGGGCGGTAGGGGATCGGGGAAGCGCAGGTACGCCACCTGACCCCCCCCTTCCCTCTCTCTTTCATCTATTTCTCTGTTGCCTCTTGTCTCTCTCGCTGCTACTGGCTCACTGTGGCATGTTCCTTGCTGTGTCTGGACTTACGTCTCGGTGGAGGTGTGTTGTGGTTCTTCACGTGTGTGTTCGTCGGTTTCCCTGCCGTCGTGCGGCGCGTGTTGCTGATTTTCTGGTCGTCGCTTGGTGTCGGTCTCGCCAGATCCCGTCTCCTCTATCGTTTTGGTTTATTTGTTGTTGTTGGTTTAGCCCACCGGCCCTCTGGCAATGTAGTTGCGGAGTGTTTGTGTACAAGAAGGAGAGGGAAAAGTACATGACTGAGCTGGGAAAAGTAGAAGAAGGTACAGGGAGATGTGTGAGGCATGGAATAGAGAGGAAAAGACAACCGTACTGGGGCGTAGGAAGTGGGTTGAAAAGGCGGGAAGTGATATCAATAGGATAGATAGACTAGGGAAGACATTGTTGAACCACCTTTGGCAAAGTAGGAAGGAGCGATTTGCCATCGCGATCGGCCCTGTGGGAACAGTGCTCCGTCCTCTCGAGGACGCGTGGTCAATGGTCTAACCGCTGAGGGATGCAAAACATGAGAGTAACTCCCGCCCCCCCGTACGGTAGGTAGCCCTCCCCTCCCCTCCTGCCATGCGCATGTCATGCCGACTCATTCTTCGCGTTGGCGCCCGTGGCGGTGTGTCGATATGACGCAAGTCGCGCGCATACATATTTCAGAGAGCCATATTGTTGCGACACTGGTGCGTCCATCTCCAGGGCCCTTGTACGTGAGTTCGCTTGTGAGCACTACCACTTTGTCGCGGAACAGCCAGCCGTCGGCTTCGACCCCCGTAGTAGCAATCGATACCTGCTGTTTGACGTGCGCTTTGCCGGTGACGGGGTAATCTTGCATGTGGTTTTCGGTCTTGTGCGGAACAGGGCGGGCACCCGGAGCCAAGACAAGAAATTGCCACAGTCCCGCCCCGCCAGAATGGGCGACGGCGGCGGCGGCGATGGCGGCGGCAGCGCATCTTCCGCTGACGTCGGCCTGCTCCGCAGACAGCAGCACCAGCACATGCAGAAAATGCAGGAGCCGATGGCACACGGTCGTGGTGGTGGTCGTGATGGTATTTGCGCGCCGCGGAGGGAGGGTGCGGCAGGAGCGGGGTTGGCCGGAGGGGCTGGTGTGGGCGTGCCGCCGGTGAAGGAGGCGGCCGCTGCCTTCAAGCAGGCGTGGCTGAAGGGCAAAGAGGAGGAGGCGGCGAGGGATCGTGAGCAATGGTGAGCGCGCGAGGAACGCCGCGCACCGCGTGTAACATGTCCTGCCCTAAACCAAAAAAAAACGTGGGAGTTCAGCTGAAGTTTAAACGAATGAAAATTATGATTGTTGTGTTCCTCGAAATATCACCTCTGTAAAATTTACGACTTAGCAACTAATTTTTTGTGGTGAAAGGTTAGCTAATTCCTCAGCGGTTGATTGACTAGCAGGCGTGATGGGTGTCGTGTGGTGTTGTGTGCCGTGGGACAAGTAAGCACCCTATGGTTTTTGTGGTTGCTGTTTATGGTGTCCTCGTTACTCTGTGATTCCGGCGTGCACATCGACCGCATGACTGACTCAAGTGCAGCCCGACATTCGAACGGCGTCACTGCACGAGGTTCTTTGATCGAGGTTGTGCGTCCTATTTGGGAAGGGAGGAGGTTGGGGCATGCCAAAAGTCCCCACGATTCCGGCAGCTGTGGAACGGTACTTCGAGATAACAGTGCGCGAAGGTGCACCCAAGGTATACCTTCGAATTGCGTTGAGCCACTCCCGGACTCTTGTGCTGCTGCTGCTGCTGCTGCTGCTGTGTGTGTGTTGTCGTGCAGGGAGCGCATGCAGCGCGAAGAGCAGCAGCGGTTGGAGGCGGTGGCGAACCTGGAGAGGCTGCGAAAGCGGCACGAGTCCGACAAGGAGAGCGCCCGCCGAACCTACATGGATTCCAAGAGGTGGGGTGGGCGTCTTTGTCGAAGGGAGGGGGCGGGGTGTACTCATCGGCAGTCGTGCATGCCGCAGTTGTTGATCATTGACCTCCCATTCCAGCAAAGCCAGGACCGAGCACGCCGGGTATCACTGGACCAGGCTGTCACATAACCTAGCGCGAAGCGCTATTAGGCATCGGCTAGTCGCATGGAGAGGGGGGGGGGGGGGGGGGGGGGGGG